CAAATTACACAGGTAGACAAAGGGATGGGGTCCTGGGAAATGGGTATAGGGAGTTAAGTAAGAAGTTTTAAAAAAAACAGGATCTCAAGGGTAATGATCTCCTGATTACCACCACTGTCGCACGCCAGTGAGGATAGAATTAGAACGATAGGCCAAATGAATGTAAGGCTGAGGAACTGGTGAAGGGGACAGGGTTTTCAATTTTTGGATCATTACGATTTCTTCTGGAGTACAGGTGACCTGTTCAAGAGGGATGGATTGCACTTGAACCAGAGGGGGTCCAACATCCTTGCAGGGAGATTTGCTTGTGTTACCCAGGAGGGTTTAAACAAGTTTGGCAGAGGAGCGGGACTCTGAATAAGACAGGGGTCACCAAGAGCAAGTTTACTATTAAGGATAGCCAGTGGCACAGTAAAGGGAAGGGAAAAAACTTCAGGTTCAAAGTGCATTTATTTCAGCGCAAGAGGCCTGACTGGTAAGGCAGATGAGCTCAAGAGCATGGACTGGCTCTGGGGACTGGAGTATTATAGAAACATGACTGAGAGAAAGGCAGCACTGGCAGCTTAATGTTCCAGGATACAGAAGCTACAGGCGTGACAGAAGTACAAGCAAGCGAGGAGGGGGAGTTGCCCTTTTGATAAGGGAGGACATAACAACAATGTTTAGAGAGGATATTCTTAAGCAGTTATCAAATGATGCCATATGGTTAGAACTTATCAAGAAAAAAAGAGATGGTCACTGTTGGGACTGTATTATACAATCCCAAATAGCCAGCGGGTACTGGAGAAGCAGATGTGTAGAGAGACTGCAAATAGCTATAGGAATAATCCATTAGAAACTGGTTGGAGATTTTCATTTCCCCTATATTAACTGAACCTCCAGGAGTGTAAAAGGCCTGGAAAAAGAGGAAACGAGTTTGGCAAATGTGTCCAAGAAAGTTTCCCAAATCAACATGTAGAGGGCTCTACTCAGGAAGGTGCCACGCTGGACCTCCTCTTAGGAAATGAGGTCAGGCAAGTGACTGAAGTGTCAGAGAGCATTTTGGGTCCAGTGACCATAACTCTCTTAGATTTAACATAGTTATGGAAAAAGATAAGACAGGTACACAGGTTAAGGTGCTAGCCTGGAGCAGGGCCAATTTTGATGCCATTAGGCAGGAACGATCAGAACAGGAGGCTTTTAAACATGTGATATCAAAAGTCCAGGGACCGTACCCACTGTTAAAAGGTGAAGGGGAAAGCTGGCAGCTTTAGGGGTACCTGGCTGATGAGATAGAGGCTCTGGTCAGGAAAAAGGCAGCGGCATATACTGGGTTTAAGTTATTGGGCTCAAGTGAGTCCCTAGATGACTATAAAAAGTGTAAGAGCACACTTAAGAGGGAAATCAGAACAGCAAAAAGAGGAAACGAGATGCATCTGGCAGACTGAGGTTAAAGATAATCCCAAGAGGTTCTATAGCTACATTAAGCGTAAAAGGGTGGCTAGGGACAGAATAGGTCCCCTTAAAGGTCAGCATGGCCATCTACGTGTGAAGCCACAGGAGATGGGGGAAATTTTTAAAGAATACTCCTCCTCAGTGCTTACTGAGGAGAGAATCATGGATGCTAAAGAAATAAGAGAAGCAAGTGGGGATGTTTTGGACCACTTACATATTACCAGAAAAGTGGTGTTTGCAGCCTTAAAGCGCATTAAGGTGGATAAACCTCCTGGGTCTGATCAAGTCCATCCTCGGACATTGTGGGAGGTTAGGGAAGAAATTGCAGAGACCCTTAGAGATTTTCGCTTCAACTTTAGCCACTGGTGAAGTTCCAGAAGACTGGAGGGTGGCTATAGTTGTTCCATTGTTTAAGAAAGGTAGCAAAGACAAGCCAGGGAACTATAGGCCAGTGAGCCTGACAGTGGTAGGCAAGTTATTATAGAGGATACTGAGAGACAGGATCAACCAACATTTGAATAGTCAAGGCCTGATTAGGATAGTCAGCATGCGTGCGTGGGAAGTCGCATATGACAAATCTGTTAAGAGTTTTTCCAAGAGGATAGATGACGGTACGGCAGACAAGTCATGAAGGTTAGGTGATGGTTGAAGGTTGTTTCTTGGACTGGAGGCCTGTGACTAGTAGTGTGCCACAGGGTCGGTGCTGGGACCTTTGATATTTACATAAATGATCTGGCTGCAAATGTACAAGGCATGATTAGCAAGTTTGCAGTTGATACAAAATTAGCAGTTATTGTCGATAGCAAGGAAAATTATCAAAAATTGCAGAGGGATCTTGATCAGATGGGGTAGTGGGCTGAGGATTAGCAAATGCAATTCAACACAGATAAATGTGGAAATTCAAACCAGGTTGGACTTATACAGTAAATGGTAAGATCCTGAGGAGTGCTTTGGAACAGAGGGACCTAGGAGCACGAGTACATAGCTAGTTGAAAGCGGTGTCACAGGTAGGCTGGGTGGTGAAGGCGGCATTTAGCATGCTGGTCTTCATTGGTCAAGGTATTCAGTATAGAAGTTTGGATGTTACGTTACAGTTGCGTATGTCAGTGGTGAGGCTGCACTTGGGAATATTGTGTACAGTTTTGGTCACTCTGTTATAGGAAAGACAGTTAAACTGGTTAAGTGTGCAAAGAAGATTTACCAGGGTGTTGCCAGAACTAATAGGCCCGAGTTGGCCAGGATGGCACTTTATTCCTTGGAACGTAGGAGTATGAGGGGTGACCTTACTGAGGTGTATAAAATCATGAGGGGCATAGATAGGATGAATGCATATAGTCTTTTCCCCAGGGATGGGGAATTGAAAACTAGACAGCATTGATTTAAGGACAGAGGGCAAAGATTTAAGGAGGACCTGAAGGGCAACTTCTTCACGCAGTGAGTGTTGAGTATATGGAATGGGCTGCCACAGAAAGTGGTTGAGGCAGGTACAAATAGCAACATTTAAAAATCATTTGGATGGGTACATGAATGGGAGGGTTTAAAAGGGATATGGACCAAATGCAAGCAATTGAAACTAGCTGAGTGGGCATCATGCTCAGCATGGACAAGTTTGAGCGAAAGGGCCTATTTCCATGCTGTATTACTCTTTGGCTCTATGGTCAAACTCATTGCTTGCTGTCACAGTACGTCAGAGTAAGAGTCATACAGCATGGAAAAGGACCTCTTGGTCCAACCAGTCCATGCTGAACCTAATCCCAAACTAAATTAATCCCACATGCTTGTTCCTGGCCCATATCCCTCCAAGCCTTTCCAATGTCTTTTAAACATTATAATTGTACCCACATCCAGCACTTCCCAAGTTCATATCCACTTGTGAACCATCCTGTATCAAAAATTTGCTCATGTCTTTTTTGAAATCATTCTCCTCTGACTTTAAGATTGTGCCCCAGTCTTGAAACTCCTCCATCCTAGGGAAAAGACAACTACCATTAACTTTATCTTATACCCTCATTATTTTATAATCTTTAACTTTCCCACTAACAATTGCAATCAGGTTTTAATGAACATGTGCCTGGTTGATACATGAAGAACATTCCTAAAATTGTCACTGATCAAAAACTTGGTAACTTTTGAAACAGATATTTATACTTGTTTTTTTTTTTTTTTAAGAATACTGAAGATGCAACATATCCAGTTTAGGAGAATACTGCCTAAATACTACACAACAGTTGCACTCTTGCCATACAGAACAAGCTCCAGCTTCATTAAAAACCTCAACCAACCAAAAAGAGAACAAAAGGTCAACACTGCTCATGAGTTTTAAACAGATTTTCCAAACAACCATTTTCTCCTGCTTCAACTCAGTACACATACTCAAGAATTTTTAATTTTTTTCTTTAATCCCTACAGTGTGGGAACAGGCCCTTCGGCCCAGCAAGTCCACACCAACACTCAGAGCATCCCACCCAGACCCATCCCGCTAATCTACACATCCCTGAACACTATGGGCGATTTAGCATGGCCAACCCACCTAACCTGCACATTTTTGGATTGTGGGAGGAAACCAGAGCACTGGAGGAAACCCACGCAGACACGGTGAGAATGTGCAAACTCCACACAGACAGTCACCCAAGGGTGGAATCGAACCCGGGTCCCTGGTGCTGTGAGGCAGCAATGCTAACCACTGAGCCACCATGCCGCCCAATTTCCACTTGCAGAACCTCTTACAATCACAAGGAAACTCAGAATAATTTCAAAATTTCATTGGCTACAAAGTGCTTTGAAATGGCCAGAACTTGGGAAAGTCACTATACAGATATGAAGATACCCCTAAGGCAATTAGACAACTTTTGAAATACAGTCGCTGTTGTAACACAGTGAAACAGAGTAGTCAATTTGCTAATTGTAACAAGATGACGACATGTCATGGGTCAGGATCCTAGGAGAAATCACTTGCTTCTCTTGAAATAATGGAATGGGAACTTTTGCATCTAACAACATTAAGACATGGCTGCAGTGTCAGTCACCTTTTCTGTTTCAGACTCCTTTGTGTTTATGCATAGTGTATGAAATTAAACTCTCATCTTTCTGACAAATCTTCAATGGCAGTCAAGGCTATTGGTATTCCAGATTCTAGCCAATTAGTTTTAATAAATCCTAAATATTTGGTGGATAGTGACTCCCCCCATCGCACCACAAGGATTGAATTATGCTCAAATGGTATTTCAGACCCTGCAACTTGATGGCATCTAACCCAACAAACCATTATTCACCACGTAAATCTAGGCAAGTCTGTGGGCGTACAGTTCATTTAAACATGGAAGTCATTGAAGTAACCACTACCTCCCCAGTGTTAATGGTACCATAACCAGCTGCTCTCTTATCTGAAGTGAATACAGCAAAAGTACTAGAAACAAGCAGAGTTCCATCTAATCTCTACAATTCAGTAGAAAATCAGACCAAGCCATTAACCATTAGCAGTATTTCTGATCTGTAAATCTCCACCTTTTAACAACGTGGCTGGAAAGTAATATTTGCATCCAATATTATAAAGATGCTGTTGATACCTTGTCAGGCCTCATTCCACGGATGCTCCTGCCGCCACCACGTCCACGGCCACCTCGCCCCCCTCTGCCGCCACGGCCAGGGCGGCCCAAATCACCAAAATTGATTTCCAGCTGGGAAGTTATATCATTTGCTGGTTTGCGGAAGTGATGTTCCAAAACAGATTCATCAGCAGAGACCTAATAAAAAGAAATTCCGTCCACATTTTAAATGTTAATGCGTTAATTTCATAAATTACCAAACTTAAATACAAATATTGACAACATGCTCACTTAAATGACACACACAATCCTCACAGAAAATTCCCCAATGCTTGTGGCTGCGTAGTGCCAAAAAAAATGTAAAACTGCACTTTCTCCAAAAGATCTTCGATTCACTTTTTCAAATTTAAAATCTTTTGAAACAGTCTGAACATTGTGAGCCTACAGAAACAAGAATTTTAGTGTACACTATTTTTCAGTATATTTTTACTGAGCAGGCTTAATGTGACTTTAGAATTTCTAGTTAAAGCCGAATGCAAGCTAGAAAACAATATAACTATGCAAAAAAATAAGTCAAACCTTCAATTAAAAATTTACCTAGAATTCTAATGCAAGTCAACAGCTAAGTGTACATTGTAAACTGCTTTTACAGACAGCTTTTAATGAGCTTAAACTGCTCTTAAAAAAATAATCGTTGATCAAATTAGCAAATGTAACACCCTTTGCTGGCAAATATTTCAAGGCAATCCTCAGTGACAGTAATAAAAACAACTTAACTCAAGGCCCTGTGAAAATTATAAAAATACAAAATGTAAGTTTTGATAAGAAAAAAGCCAAATTACAGAACTATTTGGCATATCCTTAATGAACCAGTACACCAGAGTCAATAATATCATTATTTCCAGTCCAAAAAAGGTCAGAAAACAACAATGCAGCACAGAAGCCAACAACCTGGTCTCTGGCAAATTATTTTAACAGTTACCAAATAAAAAGTTGAATCAAATGAATATTAACCCTCATTTAAATTCATTTCCATGTTGACATCAGACAATCATAAGGACATGTCTAGTACAGGAATAAATCTTTAAAGTGCAAGTGAATGATAGTTTGTCAACATGTTGTGCAATTAAGGGCAAGAAACAGAACAATCTTTAGAAGTTACAGACATGCTAATTTTCAAGATACTGCATGTCTGTTATCAGTCTTCCGTTATTGAGTGGGATGTGAGCATCACCATTGTGGTGAAAGTTGTTACACTAAAATATTTTAGGGGGAATTCATCAAAATTTTCACTTGTTTTATGAAGGTAATAGAAGTCGATATCATAAAAAACAACTGTAGATAGAAACTTAGAGGCACTACAGCAAAGGGTCAAGATACACTAATTCTAGGATGTAACTAATTTCAGGATGTAACTAATTTCTAAGTGGATATAAAAATGTAAACAAATCTAAGGTTGTTCTAAAATGAATACATTTCTCGTAGTCATAGAGATGTACAGCATAGAAACAGACACTTCGGTCCAAATCATCCATGCTGACCAGATATCCTAAATTAATCCAGTCCCATTTGCCATCTTTGGCCCATATCCCTCCGAAGCCTTCCTTTTCAAATACCCATGCAGATGTCTTTTAAATGTTCTAATTGTACCAGCCTCCTCAACTTCCTCTGGCAGTGCATTCTAGGAGGCAATAGCTTAGTGGTATTGTTGCTGGACTGCTAATCCAGAGATCCAGGTAATATTCTGGGGACCTGGGTTCAAATCCCACCATGGCAGATGGTGGAATTTGAATTCAATAAAAATCTGGAAATAAAAGTCCAATGATGACCATGAAAGCTTGGCCGATTATCAGAAAAACTCATCTGGTTCATTAATGTCCTTTAGGGAAGGAATGTGCCACCGTTACCTGGTATGGCCTACGTGGGCCACAGCAACGTGGCTGACTCTTAACTGCCCTCTGGACAATTAGGGATGGGCAACAAACACCAGCAACACCCTCATCCCGTAAATGAATAAAAAACAAAAATACACACCACCCTCTGCATGAAAAGGTTGGCCCTCAGGCCCCTTTTAGATCTTTCCCCTCTCACCTTAAACCTATGCCTTCTAGTTTTGGACTCCCCCATCCCGGGGTGAAGGCCTGACTATTCACCCTATCCACGCCCATCATGATTTTATAAACCTCTTTAAAAGGTCACTCCTCCGCCTTGGTCGCTCCAGGGAAAAAAGCCCCAGCCTACTGGGCAGCATGTTGGCTTGGTGGTTAGCGCTGCTGCTTCACAGTGCCAGGGTTTGATTCCACCCTCAGCTGACTGTCTGTGTGGAGCCTGCACACACTCGCCATGTCTGACTGGGTTTCCTCTGGGTGTTCCGGTTTCCTCCCACAATGCCACGATATGCATGTTAGGTGGATTGGCCAAATTAAATTGCCTGCAGTGTCCAAGGATGCGTAAATTAGCTGAGTTAGACATGGGAAATGCAGAGTTACAGGGAAAGGGTAGGGGGATGGGTCTAGGTGAGGATGCTCTTCAGAGGGGCGGCATGGACTTGCCGGGCCAAATGGCCCTTTTCCACACTGTAGGGATTCTATGCTCTATTTAGCCTCTCCCTATAACTCAAACATTCCCCTCACATGAAAGTGCTTCCCAGATTGTGCACAGAACCGAAGAGGTCCATACCCAGTTATTGAAGAAAATACAATTCAGGAAAGAACAACATTACTGTCCTTGAGCTCAACTCAAAAAAGGAATTACATCAAGAAATGGCTGTTATGATCTATATTGATATGGGCACAAAAACTGGACTTCCAGATATCCACTGATTTGTCCAACTAATCATGATTAAGAATTATACACAACTACTCCACAGGTTGTACTGGTACGCCCTGAATAGAGATGCATGCAGATTAAAAGGCAGCTGTTATGAAATATAGATCTTCAATTTAAAGCAAACAACCTTCCAAAATAAAGGTTATCACAGTATTATTACACCAGATATCACTTGCCTCTTCCTAATGAATCAAGTAGGAACTGTATGGAATTGCATACCACAGAAGTTAGTGTTCATTTGGGAAAAAAATATGCAAATCTAACTCAGCCTATTGGTCTCAGATTTTATCCTAGATTACAATTCAGTAAATTAAAAGCCAGCTCCAAATAATATGATTAAATAGGTCGGTCGGAATTCAGCTTACTGTGCTGTAATTTTCCAAAAGAAAGATGATCCATCCAACTATATTGCTGATAATTCAAAATTTCTTTAAATAAGCATTTTTAGCATGAAAGAATACTAACAAATCCAGGGAGCTTTGCCAGATTTAATAAATGCTTTCAAGCACTAAGCCTGCCCATAGCAAAAATGAAAACACTGGATGACTCTCCAACCAGTCCTTCTATATACTGATCCAAAATGTTTACAGAACCAGCAAGTTCTGCACTGTTCCCAAACATGCTTGTACCATATAGTCACATCTTTGCAGAAAATAAAGTAGCTTTCCCCAATATTCAGTGTTTTAGAATGTGCTGTTCTCACTTAGCTGGCTTTTTAAAAGCTGTATTTGTATTATACTTATACTACTATATAAACACACACATGAAGAATCTGACTTGTAACAATCCATCCATCCATGAGACAAAATACATGATAACACTCAACAGTATTATACAAAAAAAACTGAAAAGCTACAAAAGTTGTAGAAAATGCATTACCGTATATTCCAAGTGATGGACATCTGCCTCGCTTTCAAAACGTTTCTAGCAAACAAAATTTTAAATCAATTCCGAATATCAATTTTGGGCAATGACAGATAAAAGTACAAGTTACTGAAAAAATGTAGAACAATCAACAAAACTTGCAATGAGACTGTCTTCCTCATACAATTTATGCATCGTTAGAAAGCAGCAAATTCTATGTAAAGTTAAAACCAGTGTGACTGGGGGGTAGTGTATTGAGATGGACAGAAAATTGCTTAGCAGATAGGAAATAAAAGCAAGAATAAATGCTTTGTCTCCCTGAACGGCAGGCAGTGACTAAGTGGGGTACCACAAGGATCAGGGCAAGGACCCCAACTATCCACAATATATAATAATGATTTAGATGAGGGAGCTAAAATGTAAAATCTCAAAATTTGCAGATGACACAAAGCTGGATGGAAGGGTGAACTGTGAGGAGGATGCAGAGTGACTTGGACAGACTGAGCATGCAAATGCAGAATACTGTGGATACATGTAAAGTTCTCTATTTTGGTAGCAAACTAGATGACAGATTACTATCTGAATGGCTGTAAATTTAGAGAGGGAATGTTCAACAAGATCTGTGTGCTCTTGTGCACCAACTGGTAAAAGCAAGCAAGTGCAGCAGGCAGCAAAGAAGGCAAACTGCATATTGGCCCTCACAGCAAGAGGATTTGAGTACAGGAAGAATGTCTTTCTGCTACTTCACAGGGCATTGGTGAGGCCACACCAGGAATAGGGTTCGAGACAACAAGGTGCAGGGCTGGATGAACACAGCAGGCCAAGCAGCATCATAGGAGCAGAGAGGCTGACGTTTCGGGCCTAGACCCTTCATCAGAAAAGGAATAAGGTTTGCAGTTTTGGTCCTCTTATCTGAGGAAAGATGTTCTTGTTATAGAGGGTGTGCAGCAAAGGTTGACCAGATTGATTCCTGGGAATGATTATGAGAAGAAATTGAGTTGATTAGGATTGTATTCACTAGAGTTCAGAAGAATGGAGGGGAGATCTCTCAAAAAATTCTAACAGTACTAGACAGGTTAGATATAGAAAGAATACTCCTGATGTTGGGGAGAAGTTTAAGGACTCTGAGGGAGAAGAAATATCTTTCTTCCTCCAGAAAGAGTGACGAACCTGTGCAACTCACTACCACAGAAAGTCGTTGAGCCAATACAATGTGCTTTCAAGGAGTTAGAGGATATAGGTTTTGTGGTTAAAGGAATCAATGGAAGTGGGGGAAGGACATGATTAGGGTTTGGGCTCGGTGATCAGCTATGATCATACTGAACAATGATGCAGGCTGAAGAGGGTGAATGGCTTACTGTTGCTCCTACGTATTTTCAGGACTGCTAATTTCACTTTGGCCTAATTCTACAAACTGAGTTTATGATTTCTAAAAAAAAGTTAGTGACATAACGCTAAGCAAAACTATGGAACAGCAATATGACATTTTTTTAAAAAATTAAAACTATTTACTTCAAGAATACTGTTTCTACAGTTCACAGCTGTGCTCAATACCTACCTCTTCAGTTTTAGGTTTGCGCAAAACAAAACCCTTCTTCCACTGACTGCTGTCACAACCCTCATTAGGCTTGCGGATATTAAACTCAGCTTTTGCTCGTTCTTTATCTTGCATGGCTTTCCACTCATCCAGGGTCATTTCCTTCGGACCTTCTTCTTTAACCTCTTCTACTTCATTTTCCCTGTTAGACAGAAATGTATTGGGTACAGGAAATCCTTGGATGGAAAAGTACCAAAACACTCCAGGTGTTCAAATGCAACAAGATCCGTAAAATATCCAGGCTTGGGCTGACAAACGGCAAGTAACATTCATGCCACAAATGCCAGGCAATGACCATCACCAACAATCTAACTACTGCCCCTTGAAATTCAATGGTGTTACCATCACTAAATCCCCCCGACTATCAATGTACTTGGGGTTACCATTGACCATAAACTCAACTGACTTGCTATATAAACACAGTGGCTACAAGGGCGGGTCAGAGACTAGAGATACTGCAGCAAGTAACCCAACTATGAACTTGCCAAAAGACTGTTCATCATCTACAAGGTACAAGTCAACAGTGTGATGGAATACTCCCCACTTGTCTGGATGGCTGCCTCTCCAACAAAATTCAAGATACTTGGTACCACTCATGACAAAGCAGCCCACTTGACTGGTACCACATCCACAGCACATTTCAAACTCATGACCACTACCATCTGGAAAGTCAAGGGCAGCAGATTCATGGGAACACCAACACCTGCAAGTTCCCTCCAAGCCACTCACAATCCTGACTTGAAAATATACTGCCATTTCTTTACTGTCCCTAAGCCAAAATGTTGGAATTGCCTCCTTAACAGCATTGTAGGGTCAACCCACAGCAGATGGACTACAGTGGCTCAAGATGGCATCTCACCACCACCTTCTCAAGGGCAACGAGAGACAGGCAATAGATGTTGATAAATAGTTTCAACCACAGCACACAAATAAGTTAATGAAAAGCTTATTCATTAAAGTTACTTGGTCCAGGGTTACCTAGTTTATCATGCTCCCTTTTTGAGCAACTACAAATAAATCAAAGTTGTAAAATTTCATTTGATGGGGGTCTTTGCAAGCTAATCAGAGAACTGGCATCTTGAACATATTCAGATAATATGGTTGTCCAATAGCTGCTTATGCTTTATATAGTCATTTTCAGTAACCAAGCATAGTACACATTTTGTTTTGTCTTAAGTGAGGAATATCACATTTACAACAAAATTTCTTTTCTTTATTCATTCACAAGATGAGGGCGTCGCTGGCTAGGCACCATTTATTGCCCATCTCTAATTGCCCAGAGGGCAGTTAAGAGTCAACCACATTGCTGTGGGCCTGGAGTCACATGTAGGCCAGACCAGGTAAGGATGACAGTTTCCTTCCCCAAGTGACATTAGTGAACCAGATGGGTTTTTCCAACAATGGATTCACGGTCATCATTAGATTCTTAATTCCAGATATTTTATTGAATTCAAATTCCACCATCTGCCATGGCAGGATTCGAACCCGGGTCCCCAGAACATTATCTGGGTCTCTGGATTAACAGTCCAGCGATGATACCACTAAGCCATTGTCTCCTCTAATCTTGTCTCGAACACCCTAAAGAATAAAACAAGGCTTGTACACAATATTATAGCACGCAGGATGTAGTATGCCCAAACACAGCTACACTACTTTACTATTTACCTCTATCCCCTAGCTTACCATACTGTTAAATCTATTTGTATGTTTTTAATCCACAATTTTATTTTAAAAATGGCTTCCAACTCTGCTTTAGGTCAGACGTTTCAACCCTGTGAAAACACTATTTCCTTCCAGTTTCATGACTCAAACAGTGAAAAATAAAAGTTTTCCACAATGTACTCAATTTGAACATCTGCTCAATCTGTAACCAGATTGTCTAAGCACTACATTAACAAAGTCAATCTCAAACCTTGTCAATCAGGGGCAGTCTCTTCTGCACATTCTACAGTTTTGCAAATTTTCTAATTGCAACCTAATAAACTGTTGCATTTCTTTACTGCTCCCTTAACTTTTGTATTATAATGCCCAAGACATCACACGCTTCAACAACTTGCCCTCAAGGATTTTTGCCCACACCTCCAAGGTTTTACACACGTATGTGCTTTACCGAAGAAAGATTTATATATGATTAAAATTCAAATAAGTTTTGGCGATTCCTACAATTCTATTCACACCCAAGATCAGAACAGAATTTGATAAGATGTTTATTGAAGATTTTTAAATTTATTATCACTTGACAACTCACTTGTTCTCAGAGTCAACTACTTGTTGCTCATCTCCCTCAGGTGCCTCTTCAGTAACAGCAGACTGATCAAGTTCACTATGCATAAAGGGGGAAAAACGTTTTAGTTTTACAGGCAAAAAACTCAGTCAAAAAAGTTAGCAAGGTTTTAAAAAAGAAATTGTTTTTGTACTAACCCAAGTTCATCTTTTACTGTTCCCCAGTTGTGTGATCCACTGCCACCCCGTTTGTCTTCTGGTTTCAGGCCACTGGAAGAGAAACTATTCTCTCTATATATCTGCTGTATATACATAACTACTCAATTTAAAAACAAAACAATGAACTAGCATTTTCAAATGTATTGGTGCTCTAAAGTATTAGCATTTCAATTAACTCACTGCATTAGGCTTAGACACAAGCTAATTTCTTATTGAATCTTAATTTAAGATTCTACCTCCAGCAAATACTGTGTTCTGATAATTCTATTGAGTTCTTAAATAAAAATGCTACAAGTATAAATATTTCATCTTTATTTTAAGTGGCAGGTTACAGTCAAAAATTGTGTTTATCCATAACTATTTTGTTTTCTATCAGCATTGTAACAATTTTAAGGTTTGCCTTATTGATTTCAAGAATTCTCTATTACAATAATCGTTATATCAACTTACGATCGGTCGCTTCCACTATGCCTGTCAAATTCACGTTTTCCACGGGAGTCAAAACCATCACTCCTTCCCAGGCCACGCCCACGGCCACGACCTCTTCCACGTCCACGCAGTGGTCTGTCACGATCAACAGGCCTAAGTAGAAAGCAATAAATTAGATCCGATACTAGAATGCTCAAGGCCACAGTCACCACAACCACCAACCCAAAAGCCATAATGAAACAGCTGAACTAATCAATTTCTTCTATCATTTATTTATGAAAATGGTGAAAAATTTCCAAAACAACAACGTTACAACAGACAACTATCTCATCTTCCATTTTGTACTTCTGGACAGTTTAGGATTGCGTGCTTGCAATCTTACACTATCTATCCTTTTAATGCTTTTGTAAACGGGGTCTTCACTAAAGTAAACAAAAACAAATTGCTCGATAAACTCAGGTCTGGCAGCATCTGCGGAGAAAGCAAGGTCTACATGTCAGCCCAATGACCCTCCTTCAGAACTGGAGCTGGAACGCTGCCTCTGCTCTCTCCACAGACGTTTATAGACCTGCTGAGTTTCTCCAGCAATTTGTTTTTGTTTCAGATTTCAGCATCTGCAGTTCTTTTGTGGTTTTTTTTTCCCCCGTGGAACACCCTGACTGTTATGAAATGTCCAATTTCATGATTCACACATTATAGAAATAGAACTTGCCTTCCTACAAATATAATTCCTCAAAGAAAAATCTTTGAAATTTGGGTTGCAACATCTGAATATACAGTTATCTACACATATCAAAAGATCACATCTACTTACAAGATCAGAGTTAAAGGGCAAAAGCAATGAAAAGGCAGGAGGGCTTGATCAGTTAGACTTAGGAGAAATGCCGTTTTCACCAGAGACGAGAATTATTCATGTAATTCCCGAGATCAAAGAATTGTTGAGAAAGTAACCAGTAAACAAGGGAAATTCATGAAGTGCTCATGTACTTTACAATTCAATAAATAGGTTTGCGATGGTCAAGTTTAATTAGTTTGGATCTCTATCTGGGATATACCAAAAGGGTGCTAAGAGCCCCCAAGAAATCTCATTTCCCAGCGTAGCAGGAAGCATGAAAAATTCCCAAGAGCTATGACATCTTTGTTTCAATCCAAGAGAACTGCAAGAACCCTGTAGATACTGGAATGCATTGAGGAATTTTTGGACAGAATGAAGCATAGGACAGCTTTGCTAAGATTGTTCTGATTTAAAGAAACTTTTGTTTTTACTAAATACTAGTAGCATTTGGTTTAATTCTTGTATAGTTTTCTATTCAAGATGTGCCATGTTATGTCAGCTAATAACTGGGAGTTTGAGGTCAGCTTTCCTCCAGACCAAAACGTAACATCAATGAAGGCAACTTAGTACTGACAGTTTATTTGAACTGCTGTCCATTGACTCCATCAAGAATCATCTGCAGCAATCAACTGGCAAATGCACTACAATTATGCCAGATTACCAGCTTCTTTTTACTTCACAGAAAACCTAAGATGCTCTACCTGCATTTTCAACAACTGCCAAATCCAAAAGAAATATGACTCATTGTATACCCGACTCTCATCACTAACATCAACTCATAACCTTCTCTCAACGCCCCTGAAGGCCACATTCCTCGTAATATCTAATCCAAATCCATAACCCTGTTCAGTATCATCTTGATTTTAAAATTCTTACCTGATTTTCTAAATCCTCAGTCTTATCCATTCCTTGCTAATCTCCTCTAGCCTTACAACACTGCAATGGCTGCACTCAGCTAATTCTGGCTTAATTCTGCCACTATTCAGCTGTCAAGACTGAAGCTTTTAAAAGTCACTCAACCTAAACACATCACCCACTCAAACTGCTACTATAGAGTGAAAGCCCAATCATCCAAGCACCAAAATAAAAGTGTGTACTGCATTCTCCACTCACCCCAACAGTTTTCCAATTGGAAACCCTTTCCCTTTACTAAGCATTCTAAAACAACTTGTATTTGTACAGCAAGCACCTTTAACCTAATAAAACACAAATACATTTTTCCAGAAAAACGAATGGTATCAGTAGCCATTTAGAAATTAGAACAGAACAGCAAACTGAAGGAAATTGCTGTTTAGTTAGAATTGGATCTCACAACTGTGATAATAAGGTAAAGCTGTAGATGACGTCACCATTGAGATACAGTGGGTGGGGGTGGGAAACCGGCTAAGATTTCGCAAAAAAGAGTAGGGTAGGTATGGTAGAAGACATCTGAGGCAGGAAGGAGGAATGAGAGCCGAGGCTTCGTAACACAGTTGTTATAAAAACTTTTTAAACGTTAACAAACTTGACATTAACTTTCTGCACATTAAGTTCCACAATCCTTTACTTTTATATTATATTTGCATTCAAAGCTGCATAATACAAATATAAGAGATTTCTTGCTGTCAACATCAAAAGGTTCCAGTTGGTTCTTGATTTAGTACAAGCGTGGTCATAAAGCAGGGATGTGTCATTTTTAGTATGTTAAAGATGCTATATAAACTACTGTCAATATTAACTATTTTTGACTGGAAAAGACTGGTTGCATGTTTAGAGGTTTCAAAAACTTGTTTTCATTGGCAATGTTTTTATGAAGCTGAATGAAAGATAAATACTTGTTAGAGACTTTAAAACATTCAAAATGCATGGGAACAGTCACAAATGCACGCCCAAAAATTCAATTAAACAGAACGAGCAGAGAAAAGCAGCCTCAGTTTGTGGGAAAGACTTAATCAGAAAGAGGCTGCTCCTCCAATCTTAAATTCAGACCTTCTCATTTCTGCAATCATAGGTTCCCTCTTAATACTCTTGTTGCTTCTCAAGAGACAATCTACCATTTCGAATGAATAATGGTTTAGCCAGCCCCCAGAGGGCAATACAACAGAGTCAAGGGATCAACAGAAACTTACCGAAATTAAATCAAAATTTCATTCAGGGTAACAGCACAGCCAGTCCCTAAAGGTATCGTCATGCCAAAGGACTCTGCATGGTCCCTCTCTCCACGGATGGAGAAATGCACACATGCCAACATTTCAATAATGTTTGGAGGCAAAATGACCACTTTTAAAAAGAAATTCTCCATCCTTTTATTCTCCAGTTGCAACAAAAAACGAACAGGAACAAAACATTACACCATACAAGAAACGGATATTTTAGTTTGGTCAGGTCATGCAATAGATCACTGCTCTTTTGATACTTCAGATCAACTTCTGGAATGGTAGATGTTGCTGCCCTAGATAAAAGGGAAGGTGGCCAACAACAAGAAAGACTACTTCATAGTTGGGGGTTAGAGATGCACAAGTTATCAAATGACATGCTCCAGAGATTTATGCTAGAGCTTCCTGACCTACACACATTGCCTGACTGACGTTTAGCACTAGCAATCCAAGTTTCATCCAAGCAGAGAATCAGAAAGTGTCAGAAGCTTTAGATGGGCATGTGGCATTTAGATCGGAGTACACAAAGTCCAATACAGCAACTTACATTTATGCAGCACCTTTAATGCAATTAAAATATTCCATGGTGCTTCACAACAGCATTTTAAAACACCAATAGCACAGAATTCAAAAAGTCAGGAATGCATTGGAATAATCAAGTCCAGAGGTAATAAGGTAAGCCGATACTGAGGAAGGAATAAGATGGATATTTCTCTCAACAATTTTTAAAAACTCATTGCTATATACAGGATCCCAAAAACTGCAAACATAACTGTACCAAAACAAATTGTCACGAGAAATATTTGTGATACACCCCAAAAGACACAGGTATTATATAACTGCAATCTCTTCTTCTAAACAATGTAATTCTCAAATGAAAGACATGGAGAGATCCCATGACATAAAGGCACAAATCATGAAATGGAAGGCTGCAGGTAAAATTCAGCAAAATAAGGTGTTGCATCTTAAATTTAAGGGCTTTAATAAAAACTAAAGCTAGGAAAGCAAAAAGATCAACTGAAAAAGCCAAACTTAACACTAAGTGCAATGTATAGCATCCCATCATATAAATAAAGACCACAGAAGAGATGAAACATGAATTTATAGATATTAAAAGGAGACAACGTACATTACATTTCTAAAATAAAATCAGATTAATTAAGGCGACAATTTTTAAAAAGTGTATTCAGGATAATGATAGCATCACTGGCTAGGCCAGAATTTATTGCACATCCCGAATTGCCCATAAGGCAGTTAAGAATCAACCACATTGCAGTCACATGTAGGCCAGACCAGGTAAGGATGGCAGTTTCCTTCCCTAAAGGACATTAGTGAGCCAGATGTGTTTTTCTGACAATCGACAATGGATTCATGGTCATCATTACAGATGCTTTTTTAAGAACGGAATTCAAATTCCACCATCTATTGTATCGTTATTTGAACCCGGTCACCAGAACATTATTGGGTCTTTCATTCAGAGTCCAGCAATAACACCACTAAGCCACAGACGCTCTGTAGAAGCATGCAGAAGTTTTGAATGGTGTTGTGTAATTTTTTTTGAACAAAGATTCAATTACGAAGGGGTTAAAATCTATAAATTCTTCCAAGTCCTAAATGAAGGTTGCATGTGATAAATTGGAGAAGACAATCTATCAAGACATTCATAGGAAGATCATAACTGAACATTTAAGAGAAAGTTAAATAAACATGATTAAATCAAAATAGAACTAAGGGTATTCTAGTGTAGTTGAAAAAAGTGTGGAAGTTTGACCAGAATTAACTGATCTGATTCTTTGACATTAATTAAAATTTGTCATCACAATCATAAATGCATGCACACAAGTTTTTTGTATTTTTTCCCCCGTATTATAAACAGGGAGCCACCTACACTACCCAAAGGATCACTGTCAAGTATCTATTAAAATATTGAAGACAGAATATAGTGTTAGAACAGCAGTAGCTCAAAAATACTGAAAAATGCAAGAGTGTGTTTAAACAGCAACTGTGAATGAAACATTTAATTGTGTGATGGTAGTGTCCAGCAACTACACTTCAGGTGAAGCACTCAATCAGCTGCATAATATGCCATTTCTACGGTAGAGATACAAAGAACCCTTCTGATGCAGTACATTAATACTTGCACAAGGTGAAACTCTAGCTATGGCTACTGAGCTTCAGAGGCA